TTCCTACCATTTTGTCTGTAATTTGCTAAGTCCCCCCTATTATTATGTTATCCTTCTTTTACTCTTTAAAATTAAAAAAAAAAAAAAAAAAAAAAGAATCGAGTCCTGGTCCTTCAAGTCCTGGTCCTTCAGTGTGTCCGACGGGGCGGATGATCACGCCCGCAGGGGTCCACTGTCTGGCCAGACGTCCAAGTGGTTGACAGACGACGGTGAACTCTGCCCTTCCTCATAGCTTTCCCTGAGACGTGGAATGTTCTGAGGTGCCCCAGCGGCTTCCTGCTCTCCACTCATGTCTTTGTTCGGTTCTGCCTGCCTGACTCCTTTTCAGAACGCCATAACCCACTGCACAGTCTCTGCCTCCTGTGTTTACCTGTCACCTGTGACCGAAGTGCAGGGTGCGTGCGCTGGCTCCGTGGGAGCAGGCCGGTCGGTCTGCAGTCCAGGCCCGTGGTGCGCCCTCAGGAAATATTTGCTGGCTTGACAACAGATCTAACGTGGGTAAGCGACTTGACTGAGTCACCTTCCCGCCTGCAAGGTGGAGAATAAAAGGACTTGTATGTAGACTTGAAGATGGAGTGAGAATGGTGCCTCTGCAGCGCTCGGCGCAGGGCTGGGCTCAGAAGGGGCGCAGTGGTGCCCTGTACAGTGAGAGCCGCGGCACCCGGAGAGGGGCAACCCTGCTGAGTCAGAAGGGGGGGCAATGGAGCGTCTTCCAGGCAGGGGAAACTGCCCTGCTGTCTGGAAACTCTAGGCGACCAGTCTTGGTGGAATGTAGGACAGGAGGCAGTGGGCGAGGAGGGAGCAGGAAGTCATTTAAGACCTGCTACATTTGTTCTAAGGTAAATGACAAGCCAGGCATGGTGGCTCATGCCTGTAATCCCAGCACTCGGGAGGCTGAGGCAGGAGGATCGTTGTGAGTTCGAGACCAGCCTGGGCTACAAAGTGAGCTCAAGGCCAGCCTGAACTGCATAGCGCAACCCTGTCTCAAAAAGAAAAAACAAAACAAAACAACAAAGTAAATGACAATCCAGGAAGAGATTTTAATTTAGGAGAGAAAAGAGATCCAGTGTGTGTAGCATAGTCACCATGACAACCGTGGTGCAGTGGAGCCCAGCTGCAGTTCCTTGCAGGAGTCTGGGCCCAGGTGGAGGGTGGGGCCGAGAGGTGGGGCTCACCTGGCCTGGAGGTGAGCTGCTGGCTGCACTGCTGCTACAGCAGCTTGCTGGGCGGTGGGGGGGGGGGGGAGGCGGCACACCAGGGTAGTCCACTTAGTTTCCCTGTGCCTCCAGCCGCACTGTAAAACTCGGATAGTGGTGTCTGCAGGGTTACTGAG